GCTTTAATGTTGTCATCTTTTCATATACTGATGATGGTCAAATCTTGACCGAAACGTCTACTTATTTATTTGAAATTTTAAATATATGACTTGTTTACATCTATTATGGCTGTATGCTTTTTATTATTTATCTTACATAATATTTCTTTATACAAATATACATTTTTAAGTTAATTTAATATTTTTCCTAATTTTTTTATACTTTTTTCTTTATTTTTTAATATATATTATAATTTATTTTTATTAATTTTCATAAAGTTTAAATTATTTCAATATTAGGTTTATTCACGTGCTCTAATATGTTCCAATATATTTCTATAATAGCACTTACTTCAACAAATTTGTTGAATTTGCGATGCAAATAAATCTCTAGTGAATTTTGCGAGGAATTTTCACAGAGTGAAAAAAGGATGAAAAGAGAAAGATGTTTAGGTAGTAACTATAGGTAGATAACGCTAGGTACCTTACTTATTTCACGCATGCGCACTCTATTATTTTGACCAACACTAACATCAAAAGTGCCGACAGAGAATTGCGCTACTGTATATACTGTATCATGGCATACAAGACAGCATTGGGTTGTGTATGAATCATGAAGATACTAGGTGGTTATGTCTATCATATTTTTTGGCTCTAGTAGAACTAATTCAAATTGAGCAGAGAGAAACCTGAATTAAGTTATCGGAAGCATCCCTAGTGACTTTATAATGAATATAGAAATAGTGCCATGCTGCTTATCCTAGAACTAAAAATCGATCATGAGCTATTTCACATAATTCAAACAACCGATAACCAAAATTTTTATCGTTGTATGAAAAATATTAATTTTATAAAATTAAAAAATATAAAATGGATATAAAAATATATAAATCTGTAATATAATAATAAAAGTAATCTTTATTTTGAATTTTGTTGAATAAAATAATTATGTAGAATGCTTAAATTAAGTTAGTTACTTATAATATCAAAATTCTTGCAGCATTGCTTATTATACTTGAGACATTCATAATTATTTTGATTGTTCAATAAAATTAATTTTTTATCTATATTTAGAGAATTTTTTGATATATCAGCAAAATCATTTTCTCATATTATTTTTAAAGTATAATGTTAAATATGATAATATTGTTTATTATTATTGACGAAGCTCAAGTGAATGCGAACACACAGAGCGTGTGCAGAGAACTAACAAGACATAACACATCGGTCAATAAGTCCCCGGTCTAGCAAAGAAAACACAAGTGTTACATAAAAATTCGAATTTATTCATCAATATAGTTTCCTTTTAAGGCAATACAATCAGTCCAACGCCTTTCCAAACGTTCGATGCCGGTTTTGTAGAACGATTTTGGCTGACCCTCAAAATACGCATCAGTTTCGGCGATGACCTCCTCATCCGATCGAAATTTCTTCCCAGCGAGCATTTTTTTGAGCTCAGCGAATAGGAAATAGTCGCTGGGGGCCAAATCTGGCGAATACGGTGGGTGCGGGAGCAGCTGGAAGCCCAACTCGTTCAATTTAACCATCGTTGCCATCGATCCACAGTGAGCAAACGCGGCACCCACTTCGAACACAGCTTCCGCATCGACAAATGATCGTGTAAAATGGTAAAAACACTTCCCTTGGATATCTTTACGATGTCAGCAATATCATCCAGCTTTAATTTACGGTCGGACAAAACCAATTTATGGACCTGCTTGATTTTTTCGGGGACAACTGCCTCATTTGGGCGACCAGAGCGGTGTGCATCGTCGGTGTCCGTACGACCGCGTTTAAAATCAGCATACCAGTCGATAATTGTTGATTTGCCTGGGGCAGAGGTGCCATAATGTTTGTCCAACCACTGTTTTGCCTCAACGGTGTTTTTTCCCATCAAAAAGCAGTGTTTAATGAGCACACGAAATTCCTTTTTTTCCATTGTTATGAAAATAACCAAATTAGCGTCACTAAAGCTTCAATAACTCACACAATAATGATCCGAATGACATATACATTTGACAGTACGCCTAAAAGGGTCTGTTCTTTCGAACCACTATGTACTTTTTGTGTTAGTGGCGCTCTCTATGTGTCAGACCGGGGACTTATTGACCGATGTGTTACTGTTTAAACAAACGTGATCGTTACGTGCGTCGATATTGATTAAACAAACATGGTCGTTACGTGCGTCGATATTGATTAAACAAAAAGAAACAGCGCACATCGCTGATATCCGAAGTTAGTGGTTACACAAGATGTATTGCTCGTATATAAGTGCCAGTACAAATCTCAACAATTATAATATTTATTTTATATTTATAACATTACGTTTATAGTATATGGTATTACATTTTAACGTTAAATGTATATATTTCTTATGTTTCTAACTTTTTCTTATCTATATTTAATTTCTAGATTCGATAAATCATTTTCTTGTACTTTTTTTAAAGTATAAATATTAATATAAAATTAATATAACAATATTTTTTATTATAATATTTGTTTAATATCTTTATTTAGAATGTTATGTGTTCATATTTATATTATTACTATTATATTCTTTTTTTATAATAAATTATAAAATCTGAGGTGATATAATATAATATATCTTTAATTAATCACAAATGTACTTATTCTCCGATATTGATATTTAAATTTCTCGCGTTTTGGACAAAAGGCG